GTGTGAACTGGCATAACACTGACGAAGCCACTGTAGTAAGTACTTTAATCAAATTGTGCCGTATATGCAAATCAACATGACTGTGACTGATGATGAAAAGCCAGAGGGGGGATGGAGATTAACTTTCCAAACATTGGATTGAGCAGAAGATTTCATGGTGCTACACTATAGGTATTGGTGGTACTCCAGCCACATGCTTTTTGTCTGACTTTATTCTGTAACACACACACACACACTTAAGGCAACACAGTTGAAGAATTTGGACATAACTAAAAATTTGACTAAATATTGTTTTCCACTAAAACCACACACACACATACTCATGCAAAAGGATTGTCAATCAGTCAAGCAGATACACACATACTTACACAGTAGGCCTGTTTGGAAGCCACCCATGCAGTGCATATATGTACCTCATATATACACCAAAGTATCACACAGTATGTGAACAGTACAAATTTAAACATAAAAAGTAAGGGTGCTGCAACATTTGAGAGGAATCAAATTCTAATCACACTTAATAAACACAGAAAAAGACATTTAGCATAGGGAGGGGAAACGCTTGAGTTTTAGTTATGCTTTCTGAATATCTAACTCAGTCTGGCTGCTTCCTCATCACATTTATCAGCTTTGATTGTGTCTTTGTCCACTGATTCTCCCTCCTCCCAACCAAGGTCTAATTATTCAAACGAATTATTTTACAGGCCCAGCAACAAGGTCACATTTATTAACTGAACAAAAAAAATATCTTGATGGCTCTTTTATATTTCTAAATTGCAACAGCAAATGTTTTCTTAGAAAATGTAATTACAGATTACAGTTTATGTAATGAGATAATGTTAATTCATGATGAGTCTCAAATTTGATGAACATGTGAGTAATCTATTCACATAAAGGGTTTTCCACAAGAATATCTCCTGTATAGTGACTCCAGCTTTATTTATGTGCTCTTAGGAGCTGCTCCTCTCATCTCTCTCAAATTGTGATTTGTAAATATGGGCTACACAAATAAAACTTGATGATTTTGGACTGGACCTTTTTATCTTCATTAAACCGAAAACCATCATCTTTCAATGATCAGAACCAATAAGGTGTCTGAACCCCAGAGGGGATTGTGGATGTGAATCACAAGTGAGACAGTCCTGATCTTTGTCCATCTATCCACCTTAACTATTCCCCTGCTTTTAGATAAATAAAAATTAATAAATGTGGCTTAATTCACTCAAATACGTTTGCTTCTGAACATGATCCAACTAGAGATTAGATTCAATGTAAAATGCATTCGCTGGTTTCTCGTAGAAAGGGTTGGAGAAGAATGAGACCAAAAAGATAACAGAAGCAGTGGAAGAAAAGAAAATGAAAGTGGGGTGGGGTTGTCTGGCATCTCGCTCCCTCAAGCACAAAGCGATTTCCACATCAAAATGTCACTAGAACAGCAGCTGCTACTTCGGTGATAGTCCTTTAAAGTAAACTTTCGACAACTCTCCTGAAAGCACACACACACACACTCAGTCTTTAATGAATAAGGGTGTGTGTGTTGGGGGGAGGGCATCGGATAGAGAGAAATGGGGTTGTGTGCATGGGGGGGGGGGGCACAAAGTGCTGATATTATGAGAGGAAATCTGTGTGGGAAAGACAGGCAGTCAAACTGTCAGGCGTGAGCGCTGAGACGGAACAAAGAAGAACAGTGGAGACGATTACAGTGGCGTAGCGGAGTGACAGAGGCAGCGTGCACACAGATGTAGATGAAGGTGGGGGGGGGTTGTGCCGCTGTGCACATTTGATCAATGGTAGAGAGGAGCTTACAAGGCCTCAATACTGTCATTAGGCCTCATGGACGCAGAATGATGACTTCCACATCTTACATCACCCAGAAAAATTACTTCTGCGGCTTTCACAGCCCAGAGGTTGTTTTTTTTTCCTCTCCTCATTGGTAAACATAAAGTCCGCTTGGCAGTGTATGAATTAAAAATGCAAGGAAAACCAATGCCAGCCAATGCAACAGAAGAGCAAACAAATAGCGTCTGTTTTAACAGCTGCCAGATTCACTTCTCCTCTGACCAGCCTCCACAGTCACAAAGCTTCATTTGTCAATGTCAGCTGCCTCGAAGGAATACAAATCCTCTACTGCCATCTTCTGGAGGATATTATAACATGACACACAGTTATCAGGTTCTGTATTTATCTAGCTTTTTAGAATCAGAAATCAGTCCTCACGGCATATTTAGTGAAAGCATTTGTTCCCTGTCAAGAAAATGGCAGTGACATGGAGACATGTAGAGTTGTGCAGAATGCAAAAGAGAGCATGTCCTCCAAATGAACTGAGAGGTCCAACCAGACATTAGCAATGCATTCATTACTATTACCCCTGGTGGAGTAATATGTAGATACTAGCTGATATTAGACCATAAAGTCATTTGTAAAGATGTAGAAGATAGCCAGACTCCTTCTTAAAGTCTGGTGTATAAGATTTGGTATAAGGGATCTATTGGCAGAAATTTAATTTAGAATAATCCTCATGATGTTTTCACTAGTTCATTTCATCTAAATTGTATGAATTGTAGTTTTCTTTACCCCAGAAAATACCCTTTATATTTAAATACTTTATATTTACATCGAGAGGACCCTCTCTACGGAGGCCGTCATGTTTTTTACATTAGTCCAGACTGGACAAACTAAACACCTTTTGAGTTTTTATGACAATTAAAGGCTCCCACAGTTTATTTTTCATGTTTGGAAGGAGAGGATGAGGTGAGGGGTGTTCAGCTGCAACATGCAATTTCAACACTAGATATCACAAAATTCTACACACTGTACCTTTAATGGAGTTTTTTGCCTTTCTATGAAACAAATGAATTATGTTTAGTGTTTCAATGACACTTCCACAATTTCTGTTTTATGAAAAGGAATTATTTTATCCCTCAACTTGTTTTGTATTACCTTGGCCAGATGCAGCTTACATTTTTTTCAGTTTTGTATTTCCCAAAGCAGATATTCAAATGTGTATTGCAAGCACATACCTACAGCTGTCCCTATTGGTAAAAAATATACCACTGTCACGCATCTGCCTGTCCAAGTGTCAGGCTGAGGCATCACCGTTAGAGAGGAGGAATGGATATAATGTAAAGGACACCCCCACACTGGAGGCATCAATCTTACAAGTAAAGAGATGCAGTGCTGCCGCTGACCCTGAACTCACAGTGAAGATAGAGAAGAAAGTTGTCCTGTGACCTCACAGGTCTTCTATTCTAACATAACAACAATGATATCATTACATCATTACAATCCATCATTACATCACCTATACCACTTTCCTTTACTTATATATTGTAGATAGAACATTGTCATGTCAATATTTAATAAGAAAAAATGGAGGCAGCCCTATACATATCTGATATGTACGTAATTTATTTTACCTGAGTCAATGGCAGTAACAATCTAAATTCTTCTGACTTTTATTTTTCCCTGACAACAGTACATAGGACATTGAACCGCTAAGAGGGAGAGAAGACAGTCAACAGATACTGCCCGAAAACACAACTTTATTGACAAACGAGCAAGCAACACAGTAAAACACATTGCAATACATCCAGGAATATTTAAAAAAAAAAAAAAAAAAGCCCAAACCATCCATAATGTGGTTCTCAGGTCAGAGAGAATAAAGAACAAGGAACAAGAAGAGTGAACATCCACAGAATGTGTATGTGAGGTTGTTGTTTACGTCCACATAGTAAAGACATTCACAAGTGTCTGGTAGCGTACACAGACTGGTCTGCTGAACTGGAAACTACAGTGGCCACAGAGTAAGAAGAGGAGGAAGAGGAGGAGGAGGAGGTGCTGCACTGAAAGCGATACCTCACATCAATAGTGTAGCGGTATGACAGTGAGAGAAAGAGTTGTCCAATCAGCCATAATATGCAGCATATTCCACATTCACCTAGGAAAGAGTTCGCCTCAATATGGAATTACCAACCAGGTCTTTTGTGGCCTCTTCATGCATGAGGTGTAGATTGTGTAGCTACCAGATAGCTAAATGAAATATGTCAGTTGTTTAATAGGACGACATACATCCACCTCCAATCTGTATTCCTCTCAAGTGAAACTGTCTGAGTAAATTGTCTGTGGAAGGAGCATGTGAATGGTCTGCAACATGATAACAGCAGCTTAGTTGAGTCTGAAATAACAAAGAAATGAGCAGCTCCTGACACATGGAGTGACATGAAGTAGCATGCTGCTGTATTTATGGTTTATCTGATCCTAGATCAGTGCAGCCCCCTGAATGATGAGAAAGCGTCTATGAATATTATTATTGTGTGCATGTTTTAAAATGGGGGAGCAAACCTAAACATTGACTATTTTACTGTACAAGAGAAAGTGACTTTTGCTCCTTAGGGGCCATTTTAGTCGAGGACCAGACCTCACTGTGAAGCCAGCTGTTACAGTGGACTCAATGCCAATCATTAACTTTGTATGAGTAGATGAGAGAATGTCGCTTTCCATTAAACCTCGGAGCTCGGCCCTCGGAATGACGTCACACCTGAATAATGAGTTGATCGCGTTCCAGTTGCACAGTTTGGTTGGATGTCGAAGAATGAGAACAGAACATGTGACCGCGCGGAACAATGTTTACTTCAGCCAGCTAGCCATTGTTAGCAAAACCAGTCCATAATAAGGCATTACGCAGTATTTCACGCATCTTAACATCGTAGTAACACATCCACAGACAGTTGGACAGTACTATGTGTACGACAAATTTAATGAGCGAAATGCTATAATAAGCAGTAAAAACTACAGCTTTCACTGATTGTTGATAAACGGAGCAGCCATCTTGGATTTCGAAGTGGGTGGTGAGGTTCTTCCCACCTTCTGAGTTGGAATTACGAATTAAGGGGGCATTCCAGTTGCAGCTTTCGACGCGGGGGTCGGTAGTGCCGAGCTTCGAGGTACAAAGGAACGCAGCATTATCATGATGGTGAGAGCAGCTGGAGGAAAAGAGAGATCATCACACAGTTATCTTCACATTTAGAAAAAAATTCAAACCAAAGTATGAATAAAACTGAAAGTAAAACAAAGTTTAAATAAGTGTTTTTCCACTACTGAATATTTCACTTTTTTTCTCAGTCGTCTGTCTGCTCTGATCAATCAGGGACAGTTTGGATTGAACCAAAGGTCCAAAAAGGTATAATTTTTCACGACTTGTTTAATCAGTTACTGTAAATAATGTAATCATTAGTGATGCATGCTGCTCCAGCACAAAAAAAAACTGATTGCGGGGACTGTATGATCTTTTTTTTTCAAAAAGACAAGAGGGTTGCTCCCCCTGGTGTGTTACTGAATTTTTAACGTTGTTATGCAAACTGCAGGTTCTGAGATATATGAGTCTGTCCTGTACATCATGTTTAGGTGAGTGGTTTCACAGTTCCTGATGTATGCTCACATCGGCTTTGGTTTATTATCCTGCTGTAGAATTTAGCCTCCCCTCACATTCATTTCCTAGACTGCAGGACATTTGCGTCCACAACCTGCTAGAATCCATTCGTCTGATAGTGCAGTGTTTACTGGGCCACTTAAATGGACAAAAACATATTTCATGACATCCTCATGTTGATACACAGGACAGAAATAGGATTCTTTGTCACTACCTTAATTCATTTAACAATAAATCTGTTTTTTTCCTGTTTGTTCTGTTTTAGAGTGGGGTCTTTGGCTTATCCCCCTCGTGCACAACATCTTGTTCGATTTTTTTATATATAAGTCAATATGTGACTATTTGTAGGTATGTGTATATACATAAATACATTGGTGTGCATTTTATATTTTTAAAATTATTATATTTTAAGATGCAAACATATTTAAAAAAGACAAACATAAAGACAACGGTGTAAAATATGTCTTTATACATGGGAGAAACAATATTGTACAGTATCTTACGTGCGTATGACACAGCTGCTTGTTACCACTACACAACAGCGTTATCTGACAAATGCTGAAATTGTAACCACTGCGTTTTTTACAAAATACCAGCTTACATCTCAAGAAGTGTGTGTTACACCTCAAAGGTATGCTATGCAGGATTATCCAGAAAAACACTCATACAAAGGTTATCCTTCTCCATCATCACTTGTAACCCACAGGAAGTGTTTAGAATCTGAAAAAGATGCTGCCTTCTGCCTATACCCACTGATGCATAGCCACCAGCTGATAACACTGTGTGTCTTCTCTGCAATGGACCCAGGTCCCTGACCCGTGTACAGGCTCGAGTTTGGTTGCAGGTGTGTTCAAGAAACACTTGTTATCACCATACAAAATGTTCCACTGTAAAGTTGTAACCTCAGCACAGGAAGCATGTACCAAACTCATGGTGCAAAATTCTATCTTTCACAACAGCAAGCTGTGAATTAGAAACACTGTGGACACAGAACAGTAACACTTATGACTGTGTATAAATAAATTTCAATTTGAACCTACTCGTTATAAACAGATCGTCTTGGAGCATGGGAAATCTCAGCCGATCCATCTAAATCAAACACATACACAATGAAAATATGGTTTTGCACAGTTTGCACTGCCACTGACAATATTGTGCCAGCAAAGTTACAGAGCTTTCCTGTTTTTCATGAGTGCACAGTAATTTAGAACAAAACATATCTCTGTGTCCTGTCAAATCACCATTGTGGTGGCTGTTTCAACCGACTTGCGGCTTTTTTCCACGAAAAAAAAATGAGAGATTCACATCCTAGCGGTGCTTAGAAATTTATACGAATTAAAGAGAACAATAAATTGTGAATCTCCACTTTAGCGATACTGCTGTGGAGGATGAACTCTGCTCAGACGACCCTGAGCTGACACGTGACACCTCTCTGCTGGTTATTTAGCAGCAGTTAGCGGTTACTTATAGCAGCAGATAACTCCAGTCATTGAGAACTGAGGCATACATCTGACATCTACACCTTTCTGAAATGTTATGTTGTCTCAACCTCTTGTCCCTTCCCTCTCATCTTTACCTCTCTCTAAAGTTTGCATGATCCCTGCTCTCTCTCTCTCAGACACACTTTGTGTTTTTAAAGAGTAATTGAATAATCCTGCATATTATACCTTCAAAGGTTCTACCCTAAGAATTGTAATAAATAAATAAATAATTCATGATTCATATTTAGCATCTTTCAGAATGTTTTGATGGTATCCTGTTCTCTGACTGCAGTGTGTGTGCTGCTATCAGCTCGTTTATCTAAAATAAAACACAGATCACCCAACACGGGTTGATTTAGGCGTGATAAGCGTCTTCCCAGCACATCCTACGGTTACCTTCGTGTGTCGACTTGGCTTGGAGCCACTGCTGCAACAGGACAGCTGCTGATGCACACAGTATCTGGGTTAGAACGATAATGATTTGACATATTAACAGCCGAGACCGGTGTCGTCTATAAAACCAACCATTCACTTTCAGGCAAGACACAAAACTAAATTTTCTGCGACAAGTTTTCTGAAGTGTTATGTTTAAATATGCAACTGAGGCATTATTGAATTAAACATGAAATAATTTACATACATTTCCAGACCAGAAATCTGAACAGTGGATAAAACCAGGTTCAATATTCTTGTAATGTAGAACCAAAGGTTTTTACAGAGGGGGTTTTGCTCCATAAATGAAAATAGTGTCAACAACCATGATAAAATAAATTTCAACTTAAACTTTTATACACACGATATTTTATGAATCATGAACGAACCCCTTTGTTAAAACCTTAAGAATATAAAACTGGTATGTCAGGTGAATCTGAGTGAAACTGAACTATTTGTTGAGTATGAGAAAACTAATTTGAGAAAAAAGATCAATCAAGAGTTGTATTGTAATTTAAATCTGTAAAAGAGAAAGAAGAGAAAGAATGTTATGGAAGCAAATTAGCCCAAGATGTCAAGTGACCAGGGCATAAAAACAATGTTTTTGCCTGAAGTGTCTCACCCCAGTTTTCTTTTATTTTCTATTCCTAATCTTCTAAATGATTTCTCAGCCAGCAGAGGGCATTCTTATTTAGAGGCAGTAATGTCTTCCAGTTTAGCCACCAAATAGCGGGTGTATGTGTCTGACCTTTAGAGTTATTAACCATAAAACTTAGTATTCATTAGTGTGGGTTTTCCCTGTCGCTTTCCCATCATCATGGAGCCTACATGATGGATGATGATGGCTGATATGCACTGAAAACCACAAGTCTAAGCCTCAACTGACTGCAGGGTTTGCATTTAGAATTTAAAAATGTGTTTGGGTTACTTCAGTGCATGATTAACTTTAAAGCTGCAGGCACTAATAAATATTTTACTAATTACATGTTTATCAAAAATGTCTCCCTGTTAATGAGTTTTTCCTCTTCACAGTCGGCCAAAGTGCTGCTCGTTGTGGGAAGATTTTAAGGTCTTGACCTTCTATGTAAAGTGCCTTGAGTATATTATGATTTGCCGTTATACAAATAAAATTGAATTGAATTGAACAGTATGTGTAATGTAAAACTGAGTACCTCAAAGTTATTACCATACTTCTAGCAGCAGCAGAAAACAACTTGTCTAGCACCAAGTCACAGTTAGCTACTAGCTGCAGAGCACATTGGAGCATTTAGCTGCACGTGTTAAATACCTTTCACAAGAATTTAGTGAGAATTAATATTTCACTCCCATTTGTTAAAAATAACTGTTCTCTATATTAACTTGTGATAATTATTATGATGCTTTAAAGAAAGGTTTAATGTTTTAAAAAATATTTTTGGGATACAGTTTATTTTATCTGTAGCAACACCCACACTTAGCTGGAGGGTTAACTTCAACAGCTTAAGTGTCCTTGTCAGTCTGAACAGGTCAAGTGTCTCTTCGTCTTTCTACTTAGAGCTTAACATCTTATGGTCAGGTGCTATTGTCCAAAGAAGCACAAAAACGTTAAGAGTTTAATAGCCCATATGCACCTTTCCCTAGCTGCTTCCTCCATGTTCTGATCGGGTCACCCAAGGCAAAGTCATCTCTGGTATGGGGCCTGACCAAGAATAATTCACAAAGCCTGGCATCGTTCCGAACACCTCTCAACCAGCACCATTCTGATGTTGGAATCAGCGTGGCCTTTTGTAAAAACTGGTCCACTTCTTGAAGTGATAGATTGGCGAATGCAAAATAAAAAGCCACGAGTACCTTATAGAGGAGAGTGTCCAAAAGTGCGTGCAGTTATCTCTATTTGAACAGTTACCGTGTCTCAACCCTATGGTCTCAACCTGACGACAGCAGACTGTGTATGTTTAGAACATAGTATCCAGTCCCTTTTGCTTGTCGACATGGTTTGACTACACTTTCGGCTAACAGAAAAACAACAGCCTTACGATACCTGAACGATGCATCTGTACAGCCACATTAACATGTGATTTTCAGTGTATTTCAGTCACAACTATCATTATGTGGTTTGAATCCTAATTACCATTTAGGATTAAATAAAAATATCGATGACTACTTCAGCTTCAAGGAACTGGTATCAGCCTTCAAAGACTACAACATCGAACCCTGGTCAGGAAGCACATACACAACAGTGGAAACATTGTGGAGGTAGGGGTGGAGGAGGTATGGTTTAACTCTTGATAGAGGAATATAAACTCCTGACAATTGTGGATTTGCTATGGTCAGCTCATAAAAGCGTGATTTGTGATGATACAGATTGTATTCTGTGAGAAGTCTTTTATCGTAAATCCAAACTTCAGACTGACCGATTGGGTGGAGCTATAAGAGCGTGGGTTATGTCAAGACGTGTGCACCTGCAAACAGTGCTGAAGTTGATCAATGAAAGGAGGGAGGCGGAAAAGAGGAGGGTGGGGTCAGGCGCTCTTCAGAGACAGAAGTCAAAGGTCAGGTCTGACTTTCCCATGTTCTGTCTGTACACCGTGTCAAACTTTTCATTCATGGACACTGTGAAGACATCCTTCCACAGCCCCACACGACCTGCAATGAGAAAGAAGGAAAGTTTATTCATAAATACTAAAAAAAAAAAAACTTTCAGTCACCTTTTATCACCTTTGGTGTAATGATTGTCCAAAGCCACTGTTCATTGCGACCTCAGTTTTTGAGCCACAGTTCAGTTCAAACTAAAATACTGCCTGAGTGTTTGCATGATGACTTGTACGGAAATCAACAGCTGCAGCATGGATGCAGCCTGGTGAGGCCATGACTCACCTGCTGTGGCACGTGTGACACAGATCAGAGCGACTGCCAAATGTGTGCTAAGACTAAAGCACACCACACACCAGACTTCCATACACTAAAAGAAAAAAACATTAGATGGGAAAACAGGAAGACAGAAACTATAAGGAAGACAGAAAGTAAACATAAAAATCAAGAATCCGGAATGGCAACATAAACCAAACTGAAAAATGAGAATAAATTTGTGTAAAAGGAGGAGTCCTGCTGGTTGAGGTGTAGGTGCAACATGTAGCCACAGAGCAGTGCTATAATCATACTTATCCTGTGTTCAATAGTAAATACACTTTTATTACAAGATCAACCTTGATATGAATTATTGTGTCTAAATTAACTAACTGTTTGTGGCAGTATCAAAGAACCTCAAATCCAATAATACATATAATGTAATTTTGACCAGCAGTATTTCATGTGAGGTTTGAATTCATGTCACTCTTCATGACCACTCCCTCAATTTCATGCTCCGTAATCTGTAATATCATTATGAAACCAAGAATGAGGGAGAAGGTGAAGCATGAATATTTTCCACTGTATCAGAGGACCGGGCCTGCAGAGCAGTGTGCACTCCGGTCTACTTGAAACCCACACTCACATTGTTCTCTGTTCTCTAAAAACAAACCTGGCAAAATAAGAACTGTGTTTAACATAATACAATAACCTATGACAACCTAATGCTTACATTTGTGGGTTTATTATTTAAATGATCTTTCATCCATTTTCTAGAAAGAACTGTCGGGTTTATAAGCAGTGGTTGATTTCAAGTGGAAATTTCTTGATTTCATGCATCAACCTCCACAAGACTAAAACAAAGTGTTACCTGGATTAGTCAGGGGTTTGAATTAAACCTGCTTGACATTTTTAAGGCTGTAGGGTTGTTATAGGGTTGTTCAACCAAGTTAGATGGATGCTCAGAGGGGCACAAGTGCTGTTTAAATCATCTGGGTGACTGTGCCAGTCAAGAAAGAAGGAAAGATACTTCATTACACTGGGTTAAATACAGAAGGACACACCACTCATGACTTACTGCTACATGTGAGTTTGAGGCTTCCGTAATTTATCTAGAATTCTGAATCCTGTTTTTTGTTCCCTTCCTAATGCCCTTTCAATCTTCCCCAAAAAGGTCCGCTGATGCGCATTCTAGGAAACCAAGGGTAATAAAGAGGTGCAAGGTGCCACCCTCCTTGTTGCTCCCTCACCTCACTGCTTTGCACTGACAATAACAATTGGAGGAGACAAGCAAATCAGTGTTTTTATCAGGTCTTCTCTTATCTGCCAGATATACGTACATGAACAAGAGCAAAGCTCAAACCCTACTGACAGGTGTTTTACTGTATGACCTCATTTAATGAATGAGGTCAGGTTTGTTATTTACAGCACATACTGATGACCTAATCCACCTAGAGGTAAGGGAGAGTCTTTGATGTGCTGCCTTTCATTTTTTCAGGCTGTTCATGCTGTTGTTGTTATTAGATCAGACGTCTGTCAGTCAGAGTTCATCAAAAATCAAAACTGATTTCAGAGTCGAAAAATACAATTGTGCTGATATGCAAAAGCTTTGGAAGGAGGCATATGGTGCCTTATTCCACATAATAACACCACTGATATGAAGCATGCCTGATTAAATTCCACCAAGATGATCATTCATTATATTTGCACCCTATCTGTGAATACTGGGTATATGTTCTTTCTCTTAAATGCTCTCATGACTCTAGTCCCATTACCACAGTGATGCATTTATGTGGCCCTCTACTGGGAATTGTACTTTCATGGAAATGTGTGTTCTGGGAGCTTGTGTGTTTTTGACCCCATGTATTGGTTTAACAATGGACATGTTGTGTCTTTTCTAAACACTGTACTTTTTTAATGTGACTTAAGAGTAGGAGCTTTGTGAAGACTACAGTCTTGAAAAGTAGAAAAAAGTGATTTACTGAAGTGATATGAAATTCTGCATTTTTGGTAAATGGTAAAGGGTCTGTACTCAAGTCTTGATGACAACTAAAAGAACTTTAAAGTACAGTTTTGCCTGCAATTAAACTTTTTTTATTCCATGTAATTCTACTTTTATTTAAGTAGAAGGATCAGAATACCACATTGAGGGCTGCATTAATGTTCACCCCTTGTAAATCCAACAAAGTTAGGTGCAATGCTACATCAATGTAGTGCTCCTTTAATAAAATGAATGAGTGGGCACTAGTTCTATTGGACATACAGTACGAACATATCCTCTTTGGTCTTTTTGGAGGTTGACTCTTAATAATCTTCATTGTACCTTCATTGTTTTTGAAATCTGAAAAAGTCATCCTCTCATTGTTTTGTTCTCTTTTTCCTCAGCCACTCACCCCTGCAGATGGACAGTGCCTCCATGGTGCAGCACTGCTCAAGGAGCTGGTTGCAGCTCTCTACCATGCCCTCTAACTGAGCCTTGTCACAGGAAACACCCAGGAACCGGGCTAACTGTTCCACCAAGGTCCCCAGGTCCTGTGGAGGAGAGAGAGAGGAGAATTTATAATGATAGGAAAACCTACAAATGTGATGATCACTAAAAACAGAGTGAAGTTTGTTAGAGGTTTGTTACCAAGTTTGACTAGAGTATTTTAAATGATCCAACTCTTAAATGTGACTTATATTAATGGAAGTTGAAAGTTAGAAAAATCTCAAATCTGTGTAATAACCACATATCATTCCAACATTTCCTTCCCAGGTAACAGCCACAAAAAGACTATGAACTATCAATTCTCTTACTCAAGAACATATTTCTCCATACTTTTTTTCACTTTTGTCACTGTGACCTTTAACCACTGAAACATAATCCCTTCGTCTTTTGAGTGCAAGTAACAACTGATCAGAAGTTGAAGAATTTCCCTCAAGCAGTCTTCAAATATCACATTCAAAAGGCCAAAAGATACAGTGTGTAGAATTTTGTGATATCTAGTGTTGAAATTTCATGTTGCAGCTGAACACCCCTCACCTCATCCTCTCCTTCCAAACATGAAAAAGAAACAGTGGTAGTCTTAAATTGTCATAAAAACTCAAAAGGTGTTTAATTTGTCCAGTCTGGACTAATGTAAAAAACATGGTGGCCTCCGTAGAGAGGGTCCCCTCGATGTAAATATAAAGTATTTATATATAAAGGACCTTTTCGGCGGTAAAGAAAACTACAATTCGTACAATTTAGATTAAATAAACTAGTGAATGAGGCCTTTGACCTTTGACAACCAAATTATATTCAGGTCATCCTTGAGTCCAAGTGAATGTTTGTGCCACATGTAATGAAATTCCCTTTGGGCACTCCTGATATATTGCGTTCAAAACAAATGATCACAAAACTGATCACAAAAATGTGATCAGTTCATGTTTGAGTCAAAGTGAATGTTTTTACCAAATTTGAAGAAATTCCCTCAAGCTGATCTTAAGAAATCATGTTCAAGAAAGAACAAGCCTTGACCTTTGACCTCTGGCTACCAAAAATCAAGAGATTGAATCCTTGAGTCCAACTGAATAGTCAGTGCCGAATTTGAAGAGATTCCTTGACAGTGCTCCAGAGCGATCACCTTCACAAGGCTAAACATGTGCTTTGTGAGGTCACCGTGACCTTTGACCACCAAAATCCAATCAATTCATCCGTGAGTCCGAGAGAATATTTCGAACAAAAGGCACCCCTGAGATATCGCTTTCACAAGAATGGGACAGACAGACAAACAGACAAACAGACAACCCAGAACATAATGTCTCTGGCAACTGGCAATCGTTGGCACGCAGGCATAAAAGTGTGGAAAGAGTCCATAGTACAGATCTATAGTCATCATGTTAATTTACACAATGAGCTCCATCACATACATTTTTTAAATTAAAAGCAAGATTGATTTGTGGGGGACATTTTTATTTAGTTTTACTATAAGTGGTTATGATGTTGGTTTGTAAAACATCATTAAGAATGCAATAACATGTTGAGTTTCTCTATATTTTGA